GTGTGAAAATTTTGTTTAAACATATAAATTTCACTTCTTTGTATGAATGAGTGAAATAATATAAGGTATGTCATTTAAAATAACACACTTTTTTTTCCTTACTTTTATTCTCTTCAACGCAACGTTCCAGAAAGGAGCTGCCTTATTTTTTGTTTTATTCAGCTGTAATCTGTTAATTTTCTTTAGAATGGGCCCAGCATTGAGAATTGCCATTTAAGATGTGAACCGTCGTCTGTTTTCTACGAGTCTAGCATGAAGAATAATCGGCCGATACTCTCCAAAGCCACTGTCTCCATAATACCCTTTGACCAGAAAACAAACCACCCACTGCATATATAATTAGTTATTAATTTCACTTGAATTCAAAATCACTAGTGACTACTAGGTTAAAGTAATTAATTATAACAAGATTAATAGCTTTAATAAAGTTACGATTTATTATTATTATATTTTCAAATAGAAATTACAACTTACAAGTGACTCAATCCCCTTTTTTAACGTTTATTAAGAAAAATACTTTATAATTAAAAAATTTATATTAAATAAATAAAAATTAAAAAATATACATAAAAAATTCCTTTCACTATTTCTTAAAACTTAAAAAAGATATTTCTAAAAAATAGCTCTATTATAATTTTGAGTAAATACTCTTTAGAGTCCTTAACAAAAAATACGATCGTCGTTTTAGTACCTTACAAAAACAAAGTCTCGAGGTCTTTGAGAAATTCAAAATGAATCTATTTAATTGAAATCATGGTTCTTCACAAATTCAAAAAATACTCATATTAGTCCCTCAAAAGAACTAAAATGGGTCCACTTTGAATTTCATAAGGACCAGATGATAATTTTTCTATAAGGGACTAAAGTGCGAATTATGTTTTTTGCTAGACACCTAAAAATATATTTACTCTATAATTTTTTTCCAAAATTTATTAAAATGAGTAAAAAGCTTTTATTATAAGAATAAAAAAATAAAAGCTCTTAAAGAAGAGCTTTTTTAAGATATGTGTTACCTTTTTGAAGTTTTTACATTTATTTTTATCCTTATTTTAAATTTTTATTTATAAATTTTGTCTTTAATCCTAATAATTTATCCTAATAATAAATTATTTTATTTCCCTCCTTTCGAAATTCTAACAATAAGTTTGTATAATTACCAAATAATTTTAACTTTATTTTTTTAACATTTTTAATTTTAGTTTAAAAATAAATTTTATTTTTAAAAAAATTCAAAATACTCTACATTGGTCAAAATAAGCACAAAACTAACAAAATTATTATGCTTTTATATATATATATATATATATATATATATATATATATATATATATGTCAGGATAATTTTTCATAGGTATAAAGTATACTCTGTCTACTAAAAAAAGTATACTCTCAATCTTGATCATTAATTATATTTATATCTAACGATTCGAATTTATTAAATATTTGACAAATCAATTATCAATATTTGGTGTAAAATTTCTTATTCTTACACTAGTGTAACCTGTCACATATGTATATAGGATATTCTTACACACACACATATGGCCAAATAAAAGTGAAAATAAATATAAAGTATTAAATATGGAGAATCATAACCATACAAAGATGAAAAAAATATAATCGTTGGATCCATATAATCGATCTAAAAGTGAAATTGATTGGTAGTAACATTAATTGATTGTTACAACATCCTTCCCTTATAGTGGTGGATCTAAAAAATATTATTTATGTTCGCACATTTAATAACGATAGAGCGCCCCCCAAAAATTCATGCAATTTTACATTTCTTTTTAATTAGTCAACCCGTAATCAATTTAAATATCAAAAACCACAACGGTACCGTTTTACAGTTAACGTTTTTCGATTAGCAGGTTTAATGATTTAGATCTTGGCCTTCAATCTCATTTTTTATGATCACGCCGCTAAGAGCATTGTATTTGACACATAATAACAGCTCTGTTGGGCCTCGGCCCCGTTCTCAAAGCTAAAAGAGAAATAGTAGCTCTATACAAAAGAAGCATATAAAATGGGCAAAGCAAATCGCCGAATAGACTACATCGACATGGTTTGGACAACAGGAGCCTAACAACAGGCCTAAAATATATTGACCGATAACAAGTACACTTTTTTTTAAAAGAAATATAGCAAAGATCATATTCAATTGGTGTAAAATTAAAATGGATGTCGAATAATATTTTACGAATTTGTTTGATTTATAATAGGCAACAATATGGAGAAAATATTTCAATATTCTTTTTTTAGTTATTATGCTGTAGCCATTAGGTACACACACAGTCATTTCCTTTTTTTTTTTTTTTTTTTTTTTTTGTAAATACAGTCATTTCCTTTAAGTTGTTTAATATATGTATGTATAGCAAAGTTTACATTGAAAAAAAAATATAATTTTCACTGATTGGAATATACTATAATATTTTTTAATTTCTCTTTTTCATTATTTATATCTGAATAAAAATATATTTTTAAATTAGTTTGACATTCCTTTAGACATAAACTAATTAGTAACTATACATTCAGGCCACTTTTCATATACATGAAAATTATATTGGGTACGTATAGAAGCGTAGAACCAGGGTTTGGGGTTGGGACGTGGGAGGGAGAGAATCCATGCTAGACTTCTCCATCCCTGCTTGTGCAATTCATTTTATCAGAAGCTTTCTTAAGAGTACTGCCTTATATTTTGATATTTCGGCAAGTGGTTCAAAATTTTGTATTTATCTATCCGAATTCTTCATACCATTTCTTTGTACACAAATATTGACTTAATATGAGATTATATTTCTTTCTTTTGACTTCTTAGCCTCCATACTTGTTCAATACATTAATACATTCTTTAACACCCTCCTTCCCTCAATTCAAAAAAGAAAGACCTATCACTACGGTAAATGACTTCTATCTTCTAGGAAGCCGCTATAGCTTGCTTTTATATCGTTGGTCAATTAATTTGATATGATTCCACTTAAGTGGTTTATCATTATGCACCCATACTTAGTCATGAACTCATGGGGGACCCTGATATTTTATCTAATTAAGAATTTTTAAGAAAATTTTCAACATTTCTCAACTTGGATTGGGAGGCTATGGCCCACGAGCCCCAGTTGATTTTTTTAATTAAGTAGACAGTCACACATTATTTCTATCAATTAGATGGGCATCATTGCATGTGCATGTACAACAATCTGGTCACATAATAAGAAATTTTAATATAAGGAATTCAGCATTTTTGTGATCCACTTAATTACACACAACCTTCGTGTGAAAGGAAAAAAAAAAATAGTAGAGACTTTTGAGGAAGTGGATTGGTCTTCTATTCTCTTCGAGGATCTCCTTCATCAGAGGATATAGCAAATATGTTGCCGGTGCAATCAGCTTCAAGAAACTGACCATCAACATTTGATAACTATTGAGATATATAGTCCCACATAGTTATATGTGCAACTAATTTTCAAGGTTCTTTATATGTTATCAGAGCACAATTTCGATCCTCACCGCCCCCCCTCCACTTTAAAGTGAAATTAAAATAAAAAGCACAAAAATGTAAACTAAAAATTGGGCTCGTGCAATATCCACGCTTCTAGCCCAAAGAGTTCTTGCGTGAGGAAATGTGTTGAGATATATAGTCTCACATGGTTGTATAAGCAACTAATGTGGAGTTTATAAGGCCTCACACCCTTGTAAGCTCTACATTAGTTGCTCATACAACCAATGTGAGACTATATATCTCAACAATAATACTAAATTATGCCGTGCAACCTCGTGAAATGTGCGTTGGCTTTGGTGGGGCTCTCGAGTAATAATTTTTGAGATATGAATGTCGAAGTTTTTGTTTGCTTTACGTGGTTTCTTTCTCCCTCTTATAACGTTAATCTTCCGTGGATTTCTAGTTTTAGTGTTAAGAGAATAATATAAAACATTAAAAACCTTCGCATAACATCCAACACTTGAAGTTTGGATTGAAGCGATTATTTACGTCTAACTTTTAAGCCCGCGAGTTCTGTACAAGTCTAACTCCGTGTACCTTTTTCCCCGAACACACGGAGGCATGAAAATAGGCAGTTAAATGGAAACATATTATTCACACTGTACTTAAGGGATCGATAGAAGACGAATAAGAACTAAAAACATTCAGCAACTTGAATTGAGGCAGCTCAAAACAAAATAACTATAGTTTGTTTGAGGCAGTGGGCCGGGGTTATTAATGAATTCTTATTTTTAAGCAGTTTTTTGTCTGCTAATTTGTATGTCCATTAACATATAGTCATGCAGATCTGGAAATGGGGGGGACCCATGCATGCATGAGATTTGAGCAAAAAAGTCTTCGAATGCCCGTGACCGACCACATCTCGTGAAAGACCCATGTACGGACAAATATTTTTATGGCTCTGTCAATTTATAATCCCCCACAAACAGATCACGAGCGCTTTCTTTCTAACTCAATAATACTACATAATTCTTATCCGTCCACTCCTTTTTCCTCAAATCACAATACCCTCAAAACAAATTAGGTCCAATAATTTCAACAACAGCAACCACAATTGACACTACACTAAAAAAGATCGAGACCTGACTCCTTCGAAACAGCGACATTCTCTAACACTTAAAGCATTACTTCACTGAAGTCCAAAAATGCCTGCTATATATAAAACCAATGATCAAACGCCCTATATTTGCTTTGTGTCCCTTTATTTTTTTTATACATGCATGCACACTCTTCTATATGTCTGTATTATTCACAACCTGTCCCGTGTGTTCTATTTCTTGGCCTTTCCTTCTAATCTCAATTGGTCCACATAGAAGCCAGCTCACGTTGCATCATCATACCCTGTATAATTAAAACGCCACAATAATTCCAACACCGAGGATGTTTACGTAAATTAACAACCAATTCTTACTCTCGCTCGCATATATTAAAGTCCCCGCCATGCATGCACACTAACTAACCACTCATAGCTACTACTAGTTGCTACCTTAATTTTTCAACCATGAACTCCAAGTTAGTCACCACCTTAATACTTTTGTTCTCTGTGATTTACCACAGTACAAGCATTTCCCTTGACCCTTGTGCTTCTAAACCCGATGACTCACACCTCAACGTCATTCCCATCTACGGCAAATGCTCGCCCTTCAACCCACCCAAGCCAGATTCATGGGACAACAGGATCATTAACATGGCCTCCAAAGACCCAGCGCGTGTCAAGTACTTGTCCACCCTCGTGGCCCAAAAGACCGTTTCCTCTGCCCCAATCGCTTCGGGCCAGGCTTTCAACATTGGCAACTACGTGGTCAGGGTCAAAATTGGAACACCAGGTCAACTCTTGTTCATGGTCCTCGACACCAGCACTGACGAGGCCTTTGTCCCATGCTCCGGTTGCACCGGTTGCTCCAACACCACTTTCTCGCCCAAAGGCTCCACCAGTTACGGCCCATTAGACTGTTCCGTTCCGCAGTGCGGTCAGGTCCGCGGGCTTTCGTGCCCGGCCCAAGGAACAGGCGCGTGCTCTTTTAACCAATCATACGCTGATTCCTCCTTCTCCGCAACCCTCGTACAAGATTCGTTGAGGTTAGCCACTGATATAATCCCCGACTACTCCTTCGGTTGCATCAACGCCATCTCCGGTGGGTCCATCCCAACCCAGGGGCTTTTGGGCTTGGGCCGAGGCCCATTGTCGTTGCTTTCGCAATCCGGTACACTCTATTCGGGTGTCTTCTCTTACTGTCTTCCCAGCTTCAAATCTTACTACTTTTCCGGGTCGCTTAGACTGGGACCCGTGGGTCAACCCAAGAGCATTCGGACTACCCCGCTTCTGCGAAACCCGCATCGTCCTTCTCTGTACTACGTGAACTTCACCGGAATCAGCGTGGGGTCTGTATTCGTCCCTGTGCCCAGCGAGTTTCTGGAGTTCAACCCGAACACGGGATCCGGAACCATCATAGATTCGGGCACGGTTATAACCCGATTCGTGGAACCCGTGTATAACCTAGTCAGGGACGAGTTCAGGAAACAGGTGACAGGGCCATTCTCGAGGATAGGAGCATTTGACACGTGTTTCGTGAAGACGTACGAAGCTTTAGCACCGACAGTTACACTGCACTTCACGGATTTGGACCTGAAACTACCATTAGAGAACAGCTTGATCCATAGCAGCGCAGGGTCGATGGCTTGTCTTGCAATGGCGGCGGCACCCAATAATGTGAACACGGCGTTGAACGTGATTGCAAACTTTCAGCAACAGAACCTTAGGATTTTGTTTGATACCGTGAATAATCAAGTTGGCATAGCCCGTGAGCTTTGTAACTAGCTAGCTACAGTTTTTACTATTTTTTTTTTTTTCTGTTTTGGAACTTTCGTCGTGTTCAAAAAGTGGGTGGGGCCACGGTGAATAAGTTTGGCTTGCGCCTTTAATTTGGAAGATGTTCATTATGAAATATCTATGTATCTTAAGTATGATCGTTACCACAAAGGGGAATCGATCATTGCAATGATATTTGAGTAAATTAATATATGATCAAGGGTGTTATTAATTTGATTTGCTGAAATCTGAAGAGTCACTGCTTACTCCTGATAACCCGTGCCTTTTTTTATGCATGGAAACCAACCACGTTCTGGAACAGGATATCCTCAATGTTGTTTGTCTTTCGGGCATCGTTATTCCGATGCGTAATCTATGGTCTAAATTCTTGGCTAAGCAACTTACCAAAAATAATAATAATAAAAAAAACAAGTAAGAACCTGACCTTTAAATTGTTTTTACAAAACGAATCTCTATTGATCATATCGGCATATATATGTGAGTAGAACATCGATCATTACAGTAACTATTGTTTTATATAAGGATTTTTCATAAATTGTCATCTATGTACTAATTATATTTAGTAAGTTTTTAAATACTTGAAGTAAACATATAATTCCCAGATCAATTCCCATAATATGTAGTCCAAGCATCTTTTGTAAAGGAATTTCTATATATATATTATGAAATTACCTGTTTGTAAAAGTTTTTATCCTAAATATTTGCATATATACTTGGCATTTATATGATTGTAAAATCACTCACTGTCAAATTTAATTTTTTTTTTCCTATGCGCCAAAATATAAATTATATAAAATTAAAGAAAACATAATCCTATATATATGGCTGCAATGTGAAGAGTATATGGACTAGAGTGGAAGTTTGAGTAGAGAGCAAAAGAATACGTACATAATAGTATTTTATAAAAAAGAGTAATAAAGAATTGTTACATATGGTGTGCTTCAATCCTTGCTTCCAATTACAGAATATATAACTATATATATTCTATGATGATCTGAATTATGACAAAAACTCATACATCACACCCCTCCAACCCTCTCGTTGAAACCATATCCCTCCATTGTGGCACATTGATGGTCATCAACTCATTATTTTCCACGATCCCTTGAAAATTGCCATCAACAGCTTCCACAAACGACCGCACAACAGACACATATACAGAAACAAACGAAGCAATTAAAATTAAATTAAATTGAGAAACTCCTTCGGTTTTTTGCTAAGGCCAATCCACTCCCGGTCTCTATCTCTCTGAAACCTCAACTCTTTTGCAAAGTCTTCAACTTAACCTACACATACAATACTCACTCTCTCTTTCAAATAGAAATTCAACACACACACACACACACACACCACTCTGTTTCATTTCTAACCCCACCACTGGTGCACTGCCACACCTTCATCCCTTAACTTACCATACAAAGCCAAACATTCCCAATAAGCCCTTCGACTTCTTCTATCTCCGTTGTTTCCACGTGGCTTGCATTCCAAGAAAAGCTCATCAACTAGCCCAATTGAATTACTCCTCATCATCTCTTCAACCACTTCAGCCTCTGCTTTCATCACAACATACTCTTCCTCTTTCACATTCTTCCTAAGCCAATCTGACATTCCTATTTGAGCCACCTCTTTCCCTGACGGTTCCTCCGCCACCGTCTCTATCTTATATATCTCAAAATCCTTGTTCCTTGTTGGGTAGTTCTTCGGAAACCAATCGGTTCCGCTTCCTCCGTCTTTCTCCGGCAACCCCACGTCGATGAAAACCCTTCGAGGGTAACTCTCGAGAGAATCACCCATCAAATCTGGAAGGTAACGTGTTCGCTTCAAGTATTTACGTGATTTCCCTGATGCTGCTCTTGGTGGCTCAAGGAGCACATCTTCTAGATTCTTCAACGCAGCTTTCTTTGCCTCCGATGCATAACCGCATAGCTTTCTCGGTGCAGCGGAAAAGTTTGGAACTTTATTATCAACAGCGACAGGGCCACCGGTTTTCTTCATCGCCACCGCGATTGAATCGAACCTCCTCATGTAAACGATTTTGTAGTTAGAGGGCTTGTAAAACGCGGTGGAGGGGTTGTCGTTCATGAGAACGGTGACAACACCACCAGTTTTCAGAGTCCTCTCGATGAATTTCGAAGATGCAGGGAAATTAGAGGTGAAGATGAAGTCTACTGTGTTGTCTAATACAGAGTTCTGTTTCTCCAAATCATTCAATGGAACAATGTCCATGTCGTAATCAGTGACAACCTGAGACCCTGTCTCTCCCTGCTGGTTAACATTGTTGCTTAGAAAAACAGCTCTTTGTTCTGTTTTCTTCATGAGACCTTCGTTGGTCAAGTCACGGAATAACATGTTAACTGAATCATAGTTGAAATGATCAAGAGAAGAATCAGACATGGCTTGGTGGGTGAAAGTGGAAGCGGAAGAGATTCTTTCAATGAAGGATGATTTTATTACGAATGTGAAAGAAGCCAAAGCCAATGCTAAAATCAGCATGCGATAACATAACTTGATGAATTCGGAATTAGGAAGCCTAATGATAAGATAACGGGCTTCTGAACACAAAGCAAGTGGGCTACCAGGCATATGCTTAATGCTTTTCTTATTGCAATAACGTTTTGCTTTAAAGGAAGCATCAATGAGGTTAACCGCCATATTAGTAGGTGTATAATATGACGGTTGAGACATATATGAAATGAAACTATAAGTTATATATAAGTGAAAGAGAGGTATGTATATATGTATGAAGGTAGGTAAAAGAAGAAGAAATTAAGAGAAAGGTAAAAGAGAGAAGAGAGAGTAACGAGAGGCAAAAGGGAACTCTAGCGAGTGCAAAATCTAGCGGCGGTGTGGTTTCCACCCACTAAAGACACGCGGTTAACTTGCAATGTTGACCAAAGTGTCATTAACTCCTTCATCCTTTGCACCTCCATATTTCTTGAATTTAGGACCCAGGTCGATGATGGTTTTTGAATTTTCGGTCGCCAATTTTGTATATTGGGAGCACTATGTGTTTAGCGAGGTGTTTGGGACAACATAGCGCTCATTACCTTTTCATCGATCACGAATGCATGGAGGGTGGGAGAGAGGAGAGTGATTTTTCTTTCTTTCCTTTTTCTCTTTTTTTTTGAGTTTTTGAGTTTTTGTGCAGTGTAGGTGTTTGGTCTTTTGTAGTTTGAGGAGGGATACAAATTTGGTGGGATGAAGGGTGGTATTGGGATGTGGAAGGATTATATGGAAGGGAATGAGAGAGTTGAGGATTACAATACAGCCTGGGGTTTGTTTGGGAAAACAAACGGTTGGCACCACGAAAATTGTGTTGCACCATTCACTATAATTTGCTAACCCCCCCACCTTCTCTTTCAATTTTATCTTTCCCAAATCGTGCATTTGTATGTCCATATATTACATGCATGGTATGAGGTGGAATGGTCCTATCCTATGAAAACGTTGGACACTTAGGTTTGGGTTGGCATTTGGGTATTGCTTTGCTTTGCCACTGGGAATCATAACATGCTATCCTATAATTGGGGTCTAAGGACAGAAATTATTAGTTGTGCATCACGGACTCGCTTTGTACACGTAAACCAAATTTGGATAATTTGTAAATTGCTATGCCCGTTATGTCCCTTGTATCATGGGTGGCAATATGGGTTAAGCTCGGCGGGTGAACTTGCCAACCCGCCAAAACAAAGCGGGTTGGGTTAAAATTTTCAACCCACCTCAATCCACCCCGCCTAGAGGTGGGTTAAAACGAGTTCAACCTGCCGGGTTATAATTTTTTTTTTTTTTTTTTTTACAATTAGGTAGTATTTCATTAGCCCTTAAATTTTTGTGATATCCAAAAAAAATTTTATCTTAGTACTTCCTAGAAAAATAAAGAATAACAATTTTATTTATGACAAATGTTATATATATATAAATTCCTAAAGAATGTTTGACAAATATTAGTATACATTTAAGATTGAGATTAAAAAAATATAGAGAAGTGTGAAATAAAATAAAATAATATTAGAAAAATTTATAAAATATAATTTTTTTTTGAATTTTAATTAATTTTTTTATTTGACAGGTTAGTGGGTTGACGGGGTGGGTTCATTTTTCCAACCCATATTTTTTGGCGGGTCGACCCAAATTGCCACCCCTACTTGTATCTGTCTCCCACTGCTTTGCACACCAAATATAAAACGTTATTAGTTTTACACAGTGTTATGAAACCGGATCGACCCGGCAAACTGATTCCAGTTAAGTATCGGATCGGTCATCCATCGAAATCGATCAAATTTGGCCAAAATTGATAACCCGGTCGGGTCATGCATTTTTTTTTTAAAAAAAATCAAAATTGTTTCATCTTATCAGAAAAAAATGTATAACTCATTTTAAAAAAAGTTGTAATTTTATTTGCTGATACTATACTCTTATACAATTATCTCAAATGTCAGCTTCCAATAATGAAACAATTTGCAGAACAATAAATTAAGAAAATGTGACATATGTCATTTCAATGTAAATGAATATGAAAAATATAAGTTCAATGTCATTGAGAGGTATGCTTATGAGAATTCTGAGTTGCAATTTAAATTGATATAGTAATAGTGCACATTTTCATTTATTTGTGCTTCATAAACTTGTAAAAGTATGATTGGGTAATTTTCGAGTTTATTTAATGAAACTTGTTTAATTCGTTTTAGATACAGAGAATATAATTAAATTTGTATGTTTATATTAATATATATACGGATCAACCAGTTCGACCAATGACCTACTGATCCGACTAATAATCCAGTACCCAACTGTATCGATGTGCGTGTCAAATTTAATAACACTAATTTTACAGAGTGTTCGTGTCTCCAAGACAGCTCGGTTTTAATCTTCGTCTTCTTCAAAATTAATCATATATTTGAGCTTCATTAATTAAGCCATAAATACAATAGAAAACGTGTATGCTCATACTTAGACATAACAAATGAGTAAATGGACAAATATAAAATGTTTGCTTAGACCTTTCCTCATTTCGTACTAACAAAATTTAGGCTCGTTTGAATGAGTTTTTTTCCTTCAAAAATTGCTTTTTTTCTTGAAAAAAAGCACTTCTCATTTTTAGTTCGTTTGGATGTCTAATTTAAAAAAAAAAAAACAGAAGTCACAAAAAAAAATCAAAAATTAACTTTTTTTTAGAAGTTAAAAATTTCAACTTCTACAAAAAGCAGAAGTCAAAAACTAATTTTTTTTTCAAAAACTAAATATTTTTATAAAAATATAAATAATTTTAACTTTTATAAAAAGCACTTTTAAAATAAGGAAGAGATAAAAGTCATTGTTTTTAAAAGCTGAAACAAACAGGTGAGTAAATGGACCAAAATAATATGTTTCAGCATTGCTAGTACCGGTCTTGGGAAGCTGACGAGTCTTACAATTACTCTTTCTCTCGTAAGTCAATAGGGTAAAACAAAATGCTGAGTTGAGTTCGCAGTGAAAGTAAATTTTTATAATAATCAAATAAGATTTAGCAAAAAAAAGGAAAAACTTTAATAAAAGTAGTTTTAGTATATATATCATGGGCTTGCAATTTTTCACGAGAAATTTAAGTTTTTCTACGGAGAGAGAAAAGAGCGGGACCCATTTTAAAGAAAAAATAAAAAATAAAAAAATGATTGGCACGGATATTGAAGTGAGAGTAGTAGGAGAGGAAACTTCTCATGCAACATGAGAAGTCTTTTTCGCATATATCATTTTTTTTAAAATGTTGGCAGTGATGGGCCCAGTCCAGAAGATTAAACCACAAAGGGCCGAAAGGGCGATCGGAGTTGTTATGGAATACAGATGAATCTATTTGCAAAGCAACAAGGCGTTGTCCAAAATATTAGGCAAATAACCCAAAACTGGGTCTAGCTTAACCAATAAAATTCAAGGCCCATGCTTATGAAATTAAAAAAAAAAAAAAAAACTAATAACAGTTTGTATGATGAAAAGTTAACTAGATAATATATACTTTAGTAGTATTATTAGTAGTTATATGAATAGGGTAAAAAGCCTGACCAAGCATTTGGCGAGCGATGTGCAATTGTGCATCATTATTCTTCTTATTATCCTTTTTATTGAATTATATCAAAATTCCTTTCTTTGTGTCCCCCTCCTCTTTTGAGTATGTATCTATCTATATCTATGTATATGATTCAATAAAACAAAAACGAAAAAACAAAAAAAATGTTTTAATTGGTCAAATCATAACTTTATATGTATGGCTAAAATAATAGAAAAGACAATTCAATTGGGTACAGCAGTTTATTTGCCGCGTATTAGAAGGACTCTTATGGCCACAATTCATGAGTGATAATAAATGGTTTGGACTCGGCCTAAGCCAATTATTGAAATGTTCATGAATCGTGACGACTCATCTCAGCCTTACACGTTAAATTACAAAATGCTTTGTCAATATCCAGCTTACAATTACATATCAATTATGACATTTCAAGGTCCACATGAAAACTACGGCATTAATTGGCATTGGTGATTCAGATTTAACATATTTCTTGGAATTTTTTTTTTGACGTTACATATTACTATTACAAAATGGTTGATGTGTTGAATGCTAAAGACACACGATTCATCTTAAAAATAAAAATGTTCTATTTTTCGTGATAAAATTTAAGCATTAAATGTATAATGTTTTTTTTTTCTTTTTGGTATTTAAAAAGTTTGAATAATTTTTTTTTATATAAATTTAATGCTTTTTTTTTTCTTAATTCAAGTGCTAAGCTTATATTGAAGAAAATTATCAATAAGGAAGTAATAAAATAAAATTTTGAAATAAATATTTTTTAAGAATATTTTGGGATTTCCATGTGCTTAACATGTTTTTAAATGATTTCGTTTTTTTTTTCTATTAAACAAACACTACTGAATTCGTTATTTCTAAAAAAAAATTATTTAAATCATTGAATTGATTTTTTTATACCAATTCATGTGTGAAATTCTAACTGACTTGACTAATTTGATTTTGAGTATGAGTTATTTCATCCTCTTCAAGAGTTATGGTACTCATAAATTGAATCTAACATTTTTTGAATAGGTCAAATTTATTACGAACTTACCTAGGTTGGCAGAGCTTCGCTACGAAAATCTTCGTGGTTAGAGAGAGGTTAGAGAGAGGTGAAATAGTGAGAAGTGAAATGGTAAAAAAAGGGTATATATAGGGCACACATGAGACGCCCATTTTGGACGTCACATGTGATGCCCTATTGGGGCGTCTTCCCTTAGGGTGAAACACCTCAATGGGGCGTCACATTATGCAATAAATATGTAATTATTCTCAAAACTGCAATAAATACGTAATTATTTATTGCAAGTGAAATAAATACGTAATCCTTTCACTTGGTATCAGAGCCTTATATTGTGTCATCTCCGATGACAGGCTCCCTTCCCGATGGAGGCAGCTTAAAGAAAACTCTTCGAGTTTCTTCCAGAGAGAGGGTAAAGATAGTAATGATATTATACGAGGTGAGTAGGAGAGGAACTTCTCAAACCATGGATAACACAAACCCTGATAATTCCCAGCCTATTATGTTACAATCTTCCTTGTCCCTTCCTAAACACATTCCCTCAAAAATCTCCTCTAAAATAGAAAATCTTAAAAAGTACTCTTATGTCCCTGA